GGTTTGTATTACAGAGGTTGGCATCACAGATGGTAGGCATCACAGAGGGTTGGCATTACAGAGGGGTGGCATCACAGAGGGGTGGCATTGCAGAGGGTTGGCATCACAGATGGTAGGCATCACAGAGGGTTGGCATTACAGAGGGTTGGCATCACAGGGGTGGCATTGCAGAGGGTTGGCATCACAGACAGTTGGCATCACAGAGGGTTGGCATCACAGAGGGCTGGCATTGCAGAGGGCTGGCATTGCAGAGGGTTGGCATCACAGACAGTTGGCATCACAGAGGGTTGGCATCACAGAGGGCTGGCATTGCAGAGGGCTGGCATTGCAGAGGGTTGGCATCACAGACAGTTGGCATCAGAGAGGGTTGACATTACAGAGGGTTTGACATTATAGCATGTCTGGTACTGTAGAGGGTTTGACATTGTAGCATGTCTGGTACTGTAGAGGATTTGACATTATAGCATGTCAGGTACTGTAGAGGGTTTGACATTATGGCATGTCTGGTATTGTAGAGGGTTTGACATTATAGCATGTCTGGTATTGTAGAGGGTTTGACATTATAGCATGTCTAGTACTGTAGAGGGTTTGACATTATAGCATGTCTGGTACTGTAGAGGGTTTGACATTATAGCATGTCTGGTACTGTAGAGGGTTTGACATTATAGCATGTCTGGTACTGTAGAGGGTTTGACATTATGGCATGTCTGGTATTGTAGAGGGTTTGACATTATAGCATGTCTAGTACTGTAGAGGGTTTGACATTATAGCATGTCTGGTACTGTAGAGGGTTTGACATCATACCATGTCTGGTACTGTAGAGGGTTTGACATTATAGCATGTCTGGTATTGTAGAGGGTTTGACATCATAGCATGTCTGGTACTGTAGAGGGTTTGACATCATAGCATGTCTGGTACTGTAGAGGGGTTTGACATTATAGCATGTCTGGTATTGTAGAGGGTTTCACATTACAGCATGTCTGGTATTGTAGAGGGTTTGACATTACAGCATGTCTGGTATTGTAGAGGGTTTGACATTATAGCATGTCTGGTATTGTAGAGGGTTTGACATTGTAGCACGTCTGGTACTGTAGAGGGTTTGACATTATAGCATGTCTGGTACTGTAGAGGGTTTGACATTATAGCATGTCTGGTATTGTAGAAGGTTTGACATTATAGCATGTCTGGTACTGTAGAGGGTTTGACATTATAGCATGTCTGGTACTGTAGAGGGTTTGACATTATAGCATGTCTGGTATTGTAGATGCATAGAGTCTCTAGGGGTACAAAGCATAATGCTGCAATAAGACAGGATATCAGTTATATAAATAATTATGTATATCATTTGATCTTCATAATAGTTTTGGATGAACTGAAAGGCTACTATTTAACACATTATATAGTTGATAATGCTGTATGGTAAAAAAATCTGGTTATCAAGGCAACAGAATTTTACAAACTAGTTGCTACAACAACAATACATATTATTTACATAAATCTCAGTCTGGATCAGATCATTTTGGTCAAATGAAGTGGTTATATCAAAAGGAAGCACTACGATCTGATTTTAATCAGATTATCAGGTGCTAGACATTTACTGAAACTGGCATTCATATGTTACCATGGCTACCAGTACCAACCATTCCATGCAGAAATATCTCAAATAATGGCATCAATTTGCCCCTGGAAATACCAGTCAAATTACACCAGTTAATTTCCGTATGCAAAATAAGCATTATGTTGGAAACCGCACATAAAATTCCCAAATCACCATCATCATCATCATCATCATCATCATCATCACAAGTTAAAATATTTCCATCCGTCACTGATGCCACTCAGTCAGAGCAGCAAGCTTCTCATCTTATTCAATATTCCATCATCATCTCTCGGTGAAGTTGCAATTTCTTCCGGCTGTCAAAACCTATATTAAATTTATCTCTCACAACTCAGCACTGCACATATTAAAATCTCCAAGATGAAATCTAATGCCAACCTTATTCTACTTGAAGATCCAAAGTTAATATCTGCTCACGAAATGAAAATTTGATTCCAAAGAGATTTTTATTGCGTGAGGCCTCCATACATAATCAGTCACATGTTGTTGGCAGTGTCACGGGGGTAATTAGGTATTTGAGACACGTATTGGGGTTCAAACGGCACAGTGAAATATGGAGACCCAAAAAATTGGAGAATACAGACACAAATTCATTACGTCTTGATTATGGAGGACCATTTTAGCAATAAATGCCAGATTCCTTACTGTGCAGTGCAAGAGACAGCTTCACATTGTTAAATTCAAATATATTAACCTTTGTAAAATAGGTAACAAAAACCATATCATCAAATCAATCACAATCAACTGATAAATACAACCCACAACAATGGATTAAGGCTTTTGTGCAATATCACACAGAATGTTTGCTTTAATCATCACTGTTACAATGAAACCATTCCCATTGCACAACATGCTGAGGAACTGTAGCTCACCTTCCTTCACATTTGTTTCTACTATAACCTCTGTTTCACCACTAAGGTACACAAATATATGTCTTCTTTTAAATATGCAAAAAATTATAATTTTTTTAACAAATTTTTAAAAAGTAATACAAAGTGGTAATCTAAAAACACTGTTAGTTTGTAAGAGGAAATGTTTGAAAATTTCATGTTTGTTTCCAACTGTAGTTGCATAAGGATCAGGATGGATTTACAAGAGACTCAAATACTATTTTGATTTTCCCAGGAGAAGCTGTTGCTTGCAAATACAGTTTGAATTATTGTGTTGGATATGAGATCATGTTTACATTTTGACATTTACTCAAAGTTTATGCATTCATTTTGACAAAATATAAACTGAAAAATATCTATTATTTTATTTAATTAAGATTCGATATACAAATGTATATTTCCTTACAAAGGCTACAATGTCGGACTATGGCAGATTTCTACTGATACCTGCTGTAGACCAGTTTCCCCACAAACCACTTCCAGGGATCACTGGTTTAATTAGGGCATTGGTCTCACAACCGTCCTATGCTATGAATTTTGGTCCTACTAACTATATCCCATTCAAAGGTAGGTAATTATCAGTGGTTGGCGACTGACAAAGTAATGGCTCTCAGTGGTTCAGTCTGGCTCTGTATTAATTTCTATATCACAGTAGGGGACATGAAGTAGAGTTAGACATTACAAAGTAACTACAGCGCCAAGACGTAGTGTAGTGATTTGACCTTGAAACTCTTTCAAAATGAAGGGCGATTTCCAAAAGTAATCTGAATTTTTATATTTGGGATTACATTTTCTTCGAAAAAAAAGTATAATTTCCTACATTTGACCATTATTTAAAAGGCACTGTGTGTTTTAGAGGCATTTGAGTAATCATTGGATCAACTGAAAGTGAATGTCTTTTTTATTATGACATAGTACTACACATAATCATACAGATTGATAAAAACTACTATAGTTTGCTTACATCTACCAACCATCACGTCGGCCATTGTTTGGAAAGGGAAGTAACTCTGAATCAGTATCGTCGCAGGAATGTAGCCACGCCTACTTGTGTAGTTGTAGTTGCAACTGACACATGGGATCTGGAGTTTACATTATGTGTTTGCCATTCCTTTTTCCAGCTGAGTGGGGACTGTGGATTGTTATTTCAACGTCACGTGAGGATAACATAACGTTGTGTCAAGCTGTCCAAGTGACAATTCACCCACATGAAAGGAAATTTAGTAGTCATATAATAAATATCTTAATCATTTGTGATTTAACCACTGTTACATAAACAAATACTGTTAACACAGCTAGAATGACTCATCTTGTACTCCATCACGCAAACACATCATTTACCTTTGAAATATCACAGCCGTCAACAAAGAGCAAAATATCATATAGCGGTGTAATTGAGTTTCTCAAACAGCCTGATCACTCCAACAATATGTCAGCAAACTGATACTGAGCTGATGCAGATCAAAGCCATCTGAAGACACGATTTCAATGTGGTTGTCAGGTTATTGATTGTCTTTGATAAATCATAGAGTCTACAATGTGAGTGTGTTTGTCATACTGATGATTTGACAAAGAGCTTTTGTATTCAATCACGTGGGAATGGTGAGTTTGGTTGCTTTGAACAGTATTTCAGCCAGTGTGTCAGCTTAATATGGAAGGAAATCCCAAAGTGATGCTGGTCTCAGACGTTTACCATTTTGGTGAAACCTAGGAATACAATCATTTTGAATCAGGATTTGTAAGTGTGATCATAGGTTTATGGCATGTCTGACCCGTGAAGGTCCGGGTTAGAATATTGATCTTCAGTACCCCATGCTTGTCGTAAGAGGCAACTAACAGGATCGGGTGGTCAGGTTCGCTGACTTGGTTGACACATGTCATCGGTTCCCAATTGTGGAGATTGATGCTCATGCTGTTGATGACTGGATTGTCTGGTCCAGATTCGATTATTTACAGACCGCCGCCATATAGCTGGAATATTGCTGAGTGCGGCATAAAACTAAACTCACTCACTCACTATCGCATGTCTAGCATATGAAACTCAAATTGCTGTGGTGTTGACAAACAGACTCCCATGTGCTCACCAATGGAACGGAGGGAAACGATGTTTAATTTCACAGTCAGCATTATTCTTGTTGTGTCACAAACGACTGTAAATATTTGCGTCTGGACCAGACAAAACAATGCTTGAAAAACTAAGCAACAGTCAATGCCATTGGGGCAAAAACTGCATCCAATCAGTCAAGTCCCAAAGTCTGACCACCTGATCCAATTAAGCGGCCTCGCACAACCAGCCATGGGCTGACAGGGATCAATTCCAGCCACAGTCCTGTGAGCATTGAGAATCGTAGACAATACAACAAGGGTGTGTTTGTATGTTGCTGACTTTATGTAGCATGCAGTATTTTCCTGCGTGACATTATATATAGGACGCATACTTCCTCAATAGTTATGGAAAAAACTATGACTTTTGACAAAATACAAACAATCTGTTTTGAGGTAATGAATTTGTAAGCAAAAAGCTTTTGATGAAGAACTTAAGGCATTCATTCATGAAGGACAGATAATATGTAATTCTGAGGAAGAAAATAAACAGAGGTTGTCAACCCTACACAGAAAGTTCACTGAAATCTGAGTGTATTGTTTTGATGAGAGAGTATGGTTTTACGCCAATTCCGCTAAAGCAATATTCCAGCAATATCATGGTGGAAGACACCAGAAATGGGCTTCACACATTGTACCCACATCGGGAATCGATCCCAGGTTTTTAGTGTGATGAGCGAACGCTCTATCTACTAGGCCATGCATCAGTTCATGATGCCAGTAGCTCTTACTACATTCTGCTGAGAAACAACCAAGCAATGTGACATTATATCACTTCAACTGACAAGTCACCACAAACATCCCCAAAGCATACATGCGCAAATATCAGTTATTACAAATGATCTTTCCACCCAAAATATTGATACTGTGTAACACTGCATCCAGAAACAGTTAATCATAACACTGTTTTTCAAACATCGGAGAATATAATGTCATCACAACATACATCCTGACACCGAAGACAGGAACACACACCAATTGCAAATCACTTCAAAAAGATATTACATATTTAATTTTCATTTACTTAGAAAATATTAATATGGAAATCTTAGAAACTATATATATACATACAGATATAATGGGACAAAATATATTGGACATATACTGTAACTTTGTTTCATTACATTGGAAATTTCAAAATCATGAAACATTTGGAAGCCAGTTTAACTGTAGATTCCTGAATATTTGACATAAAGCATTTAACAGCAGCGACAATGCAATGTTAAAGGCATACATAAAATGTTTTGAAAGTAGATATGGTTTTATGGTATTTCATATAATATACATGCAAAATATGTATATATACTCTAGATATAAAAAATACCATTTGTTTGTCTTTGCCAAAACTATGAATTCCTGTTCACATAAAATTATAATTAAAATAATACAGAACACACTGTTCATCATAAACACTTACAGTCATTTCCTGATAACATATTAAAATTGTAATAAAATCACTGTACACAAAACAATCTAATAGTATCTACAAATACAATCATACATTTTCCCCATAAAACTGTTTTTATCACAAACTGCACAAAAACCACACATTCCCATTTTAAATATCCTTATCATCTTCAGGCGTCTCGCCGGATTTAATGATCTCATCCACATTTGCTTCAGCTGTTTCTATCACAGACTTCACTATCTGGATGGCTGTATTCGTGCGTGTGACCGGAGCTGGGATGCTCGCGTCATCTGCAACTGATGCGTCTTCCTCAGCATCTGACTTCTCTGATCCAAAAGTTGGAGCATCTTGGTAGGTATTCTCTTCCTCTTTGTTTACCTGATTAGAATCATCACAACTGGACTCGTCAACTGGCAGTTCATCATGTGGGTATTCAGACTCTCCACCTCTCTCTTTGTCAGATTCTTCATCTTCAGGAGGTGGTGCAGTTGCATCTACAGGTGGCTGCTGATCCAGGGATCCTGCTTCTGAGTCATTGTCTTCAGTATCAATATATGTTTCCTCCATATCTGGGGTTTCTAATGGAAGCACAGTGGACTCTTGTTCCATTTCAGGTTCTTCTGGAGGTGGAGCTGATGCCCCTACAGAATATTCTGCCTGATTGTCAGCAGGTTCTGTTGATGAGGTGTCCTGTTCACTCCCTTGAGCAGTGTTGTAATCAACTGGGTCAACATCCATAATGCCGGAAAGATTCAAAGGATCTACCTCTTTACTGAAACCAGTAGTTTGCCTTGACACCTGTACTTCATTCTTGTCTTGAGCATCTCTATCTTCTCCTACTCTCTGATCTGAATCCTCAGCATCTGATCTCTCTGTCCCAGGCCGAGATGAAGCCTCTGACGTGTATGTATCCTTACCATCAGGTTTGATAGCATTCCTGTCAGCCTGGATATCAACATTAACAAATGTGTCTACAGAAATAACCCGCTTTCCACTCTTTGGCTTAGGAATGACCTCACAGACAGTTTTCATCACTCCAGGGTCATGAGAGCCATCAAGACCATGTGACTCTCCAAACTCACTCTCTTCATAGAGTGGTGCCATGGACAGAGACTCCCTGGACTTAACATCCTGCAGCCTTTTCTCCTCCAGAGTCCTCTTCATGTCCTTGGGTTCAGGAGATGGAGGAGGAGGTCCTGGAGACTCTGTCTTCACACTCTCATCCATAAGCAACCTGACCACAGAGCTCTTATCAGATTCCCGACTTTCCAAATTTGATCTTGACTTCGAGGCTGGAGTCTTAGAGCTCCTTTCGGCTGAACTCAGTCCAAGGCGATCGGAGTCTGATCTCAAGCCAGTGGAGTGAGGATAGGGAGCCGCTTCAAATGCAGCTTCATTCACATTTGGCCATTCTTCATTGGATGAAGCAGAAGCAGGGGACGTGATGCCTGCTCTGGAACGTGTTTCATGACCTCCTCGTCTTTCAGCAGCACTGTTGTTGGACCTGTCCTGCTTAGAGTCCTGCTTAGAGTCCTGCCTACAGTCCTGCTTAGTGTCACTGGAAGAATGGTCTGGATTGCTCAGAAAGACTGTGTAGCTGTGTCTCTCATCAAGAGAGCCAGGAGGTGGTGGTGGTACCTCTCCGACAAAGCTGACCATCTTGCCCCGAGATGACAGACCAATTCGTATTGCACCATTCTCCATCATCGTCTCGGGGATGGTGCCAAGACCTGAAAAACACAAAGAAAATTACCATCTACTTTATCATGCTTAATGTCAAATCATCGGATAATGGCAGTGGGTTCAGGATTACCATTTTGCATGGCTTCAGCTGTTTCCTTTGTATATTGATAAGTAATGCCAGCAACTCATAAGGGTGAGAAGAATGATTGCAATGCAGACAAAGAACATACCTCGTGAGTGAGTGAGTGAGGTTTTATGCCACTTTGAGCAATATTCCAGCAATATCACAGAGAGGGACACCAGAAATGGGCTTCACACATTGTACCTGGGTCTTCGGCGTTACAAATGGATGCTTTAATCACTAGGCTTCCCCACTGCTCTCATATACCTTAGAGCGTCCGCCCAGAGAGCGGAAGGTCATGGGTTCATCCCCGACTGCGTCATACCAAAAGACGTTAAAATATGGTACTTGTTGGTCCCTGCCTGGCGATCGGCATTAATGGGTACAACAAGGACTGGTCGGCTCGGAGTCAGTATAATGTGTCTCAGTGGGCTAGCACAATAAAACCAGCTTAAGTGTGGGATAGTACAATCAGCCACAGATACACACGCATGCACATCATCATATGAGCGAAATATTCTCAAGCACAACGTTAAACCCAATTTCACTTCACCTCATCTCATATACCTCAGGAAATGCAGCAGAAACAAATTCACTTGTGATGCACCACAGATACACCATTAAATGTCTTCATGATAATGTCAGGTTAGTATATATACTTGCGTGTGACCTAACAATTAAAAGTTCATCACAGTAATGAACTAATGATGTTCAAAAGTTTCTTCCATTATGCCATATTGTTTTAAATTTTCGTTAACAGATTCACCTGACTGAAAGGATTTGGGGTTTTCCCTTAATCACGTCCAACCAATCAATTTTAACATTATATTATTTAAATTTGACTTAAACTGGTTGGAATTCCTTGAGAAGGACAGCACATCACTGCAGTCAGTTTACATTATGAAGTCCCTTAGAGTGAATCAGCATGTGGAGGGTTAAATTCTTCCTTCAACATCAAAATGAACTATACTGTCAGGTAATCAGACAAAATTAATCTCTGTAGCATGTGCGTGTTTGGGTTTTTAGGCTGCCATCAACAATATTCCTTCCACATCACAGCAATTTCCTCATGCCATATGCCTGGTTTGTTTCAGGGGAAATACAACATGGCATCGCAGTTCAATTTATATTCATGAAGTGAATATACAAGAAACTTAACGTGAAATTAATTTGGAGCTTTCACTGATTTTGAAAGGGTAGCAAATTTGATTTTGTTACATGCTCACACAGGACTTCATGGCTCCAGAGACACAGATGAAAGTCAGGGGAAAAAAATGAATATGAAGTATTGTATGTGAAATATGGCTGAAATCCAAAGATTACTGGAGCTGAAAGTAATGTTGAAAGGCACCGTATTTCAGATATTGATGTGATGAGATAAAGTCATAACAAAATAATTTGAAAATGAACACAACAGCAGATATAAATGGAGTAAGATAAAGTCATGACAAATCAGACCTGATTTTAGGGATGTTTATCAGAATATTTAGGAGGAATATGCTTTTTTTTCACTTTTGCTGGAATATTTTACGCTGAGATTAATAGCTACATTTAACAAAGTTTCCTCTTTTATTCTGAAACATTTTTAATGAAAGGAGAACTTGTACAAGTAGACAAATATATGTCAGGAAAGTTGATGATATTTCTGTGATAATGAATATAAATCTTGATTTTTAATTGGTTCTGGACAGTAAATTTTCAGTATTGCTCAGATCACTGGACCAGCTGAATTCCCTTTTAAACTGGGAACTGGTCCTACAAATTTAGTCTTTGTAAACACAAAATATTTTCAATTAGTATAAAGTTAATTTATCCTCTCAAAAATAAAATCCTAATGTTTTATTGGTCAAACATGTAAATTTACAAGAAAATCTTTTTTAGATTGTGTTTTGCCCCATATACACTTCATAAATTGCCAAAAGTAAAATACTTTTAGTATTTATTTATTTTTGTAAAAGTTTTTTTCCCTCCTGCCTTTAGGTTTTCTGAGGACAAAAATCCATAAAACAAAAAATAAAATTGATCTGGCCTTAGAAGAAGTGTCTTTCATTATGCCACACTGTTTCAATAGAACTAATCGTCCAATCACAGACAGTTTCCAGTGTTAACCTGAGTTTATGTATTTTATTCCATCTACATGACAACCCTGGACCTGACAAACCAGTGACCGACATCATGAGCATACATCAACCAAGTCAGCAAGCCTGACCACCTGATTCCTCTAGATACAAGCATGTCTCCCTGAAGACAGTTGCTGTCCAGATCTTCATGACAAAGAATTACTGTCATCCATTTGTAGCTCTTGTGGCCAGGGAGTTATATCTTTGGGGAATCAGAGGAACTAACCATTTTTTTCTTTTGTATCTAAAGTGCAAGCATAGTCCGGTGATCCAAGCTGCTACATCTCTTACTCACCATGTAGTGAGTGAGTGAGTGAGTGAGTGAGTGAGTGAGTGAGTGAGTGAGTGAGTGAGTGAGTGAGTGAGTGAGTGAGTGAGTGAGTGAGTGAGTGAGTGAGAGTGAGTGTGTGTGTGAGTGAGTGAGTGAGTGAGTGAGTGAGTGAGTGAAACACAACCACATGAACTATAATACAAGCATGTTGTCATATTCACGATTTACAACAAAGGCCAATGTACATCATATATTTCCAGTCAGTTTGGATAAACAGCTGGACAAACAATCACCATGCATTTGTTTTGAATCTCATTCACATGAAACAATGCTGAAACTATCTCCATCAAATGACCCTGTTCTTTTGTGACTGTTTTGAGCATCAACGCACCAAAGCTCGATATGGCTGTTTATTAAAGTGCCACCTCTTGAACACATTCAGCTGGCATCAAAAATCGGAGATTGCATGGGAAACTTCAGGTTTATTATACAATTGGTTTCTGAGACAACCACTGTAACAGGCATTTAGAAGCTGTTATGATGACCGACTGACTGACTGTGTTTTGGTTTTACGCCGCTTTTAGCAATATTCCAGCAACATCACGGCGGGGGACACCAGAAATGGGCTTCACACATTGTACCCATGTGGGGATTCGAACCCGGGTCTCCCGTGACAAGCCAACGCTTTAACCACTAGGCTACCCCACCGCCCCCTGTTATGATGAAGAACTATTTATGGATAGACAACTTCTTTATATATGCGACGTTTTGGTGTAGATGCTAACACTGCTGGATATCATCTATTGCAATATAAAGAAGTCTGTCCATAACAAGTGTTTTTCTTCATGGGTTACGAGATGTTTGAAAAGGTTGCCATACACCAAACACACTTCCCAACCCTGCCATGGCCTGACATTTTTGTAAGGCAAGACCTCTAATATTTCTTTATTTAATTAATAGGAATGTGTGGCACCAAGGGAGTATTAACTCTTGGTTTTATGCATAAATATCTTCAGATGACTTAATGTCAGTTTGAATTTCACCATCTTTGTTTTTGACAATATTAAAATCTGATTAAAATGTGCCACTACACCTCGATGTGGGAACATCCTATTAGAGGTCATGGCCTTTTATTCAACCAATCCGAGTGTCACAAGGTTGTGGCGGGAAACTTTTAATGTGTTGTATAATCATGCTAGTTCTGTAAGGTTAACACAAGCTGGCATAAACGACATTTACAGCTGGTGTCTGATTCCATCAACATCATTGTCTGTGTATTGTTTCAATTGGATTAACATTTGAAATGGATGAGATTTTCCATTGCCCAGGGGAAGTACTGCCACACAAAGTCAGTCATTAATTTGACATTCCAGAATTCTGTCAAAATCTCTTTCAGAGCCTAGTCTGGATTGAAGTCACCTAGATTGAAACTGATAAAACTCAAGAAAGTTGCTTTCTGATTGGTAAATCTTGACTTCTTGAAGTCCTTCATTTGTCTGTAAATACTGTTTAGCGATCGTTCTCACATGACCTACAATGGGAGATTTTCAGATCTGTATGTAGTGGTAGCAAACAGTCACATCTGATTTCGTGGCTGTACCCTCAAAGGGGGTTGAAGTAGCGTAAAATTATTGTCCTCCTGAGAGGGTACGTAAGTCCCAAAACATTTAGTCAAAGAGATCAAGTGTTTGATGGTGCAGGAACCCTTTGGTACATGGCCATCTCACTGAGAACAGACTGTAGGATTCGCTTGTTTAAAGCAATACTACACCACACAGATGCAACAACCAGCATATCCTGGTAAAGTCAAAGGATGCACCTCTCCAGAGCAATTGGTTGGTCACATGAAAGGTTTTCATGAAGAAGGTTAAATTAATTCATAAGAAACTAAGTAAGTTGGCAAGGCTAGTTGACCTGCCTTAGATCACTATTTGGCTATATTGTGCCATGCCATACTCATATGATACACCTGTGAAGATCAGGGTTAGAATTGATCTTCAGTAACCCAGGCTTGTCGTAAGAGGCAAGTAACGGGGCCGGGTGGTCAGGCTCGCTGACTTGGTTGACCCACATGTCATCATTCCCAGTCTTATCTCAATTGCATAGAATGATGCTCATGAAGTTGATCACTGGATTGTCTGGTCCAGTCTCAATTATTTACAGCCACCGTCATATAGTTGGAATATTGCTGAATGTGATGTAAAACAACAAACCAACCAACCAGTACTGAATCTCTGACAAAGACATAGACCCGTGAAGATCCGGGGTACAATAGGTCTTCAGCAACCCATGCTTGCCACAAAAGGCGACTATGCTTGTCGTAAGAGGCGACTAACGGGATCGGGTGGTCAGGCTCGCTGACTTGGTTGACACATGTCATTGGTTCCCAATTGCGCATATCGATGCTCATGCTGTTGATGACTGGATTGTCTGGTCAGAACTCGATTATTTACAGACCGCCGCCATATAGCTGGAATATTGCTGAGTGCGGCATAAAACTAAACTCACTCACTCACTGACAAAGACATAAGGTTACTGTGGATATTTACCTCTAGTTCCAGGTTCCGGGGAGGCTGCAGGAGACTGGTTTGGGGAGTTGGCTGGGGCAATCATCTTCTGTATGGGTGACATAGAGATGTCCCGTGATGGAGGCGGACTCTGGGAAGCATTGGGAGCAGACATGTTGGTTCTGTCTCTTTGGAAGGAAGTTTTGGTTGGCGAGGGATGAGTTACTGGCGTGGCCATTGGTGTTCTAGGTAGTTTGGCTGAAGTTGATGGGGAGATGCCTTGAAGAGCAATACTGTTTTCGGTCTGTAAACATAAAGTCATCAGTGTGGCCTGTATACATGCTGCACATAGACTAGTCTATAAAAACTTTGAAGAATTGTTTAGAAAAGTTATTTGTTTATGTTCATGTGTTTGACAACTGGGCAACTACCACACATCTTATATTTATACCTCTTGTAACTTTTGAAATAATATCATGATATTCTGTAACTAACACAGAAACACACAGGACTGTACTGAAACACCTACTGCTACCTGCCACTGTGTCGCTGTCTGGTGGATGAACCACAGATCAGAAACACACAGGACTGTACTGAAACACCTACTGCTACCTGCCTCTGTGCTGCTGGCCGGTGGATGAACCACAGATCAGAAACACACAGGACTGTACTGAAACACCTACTGCTACCTGCCTCTGTGCTGCTGGCCGGTGGATGAACCACAGATCAGAAACACACAGGACTGTACTGAAACACCTACTGCTACCTGCCTCTGTGCTGCTGGCCGGTGGATGAACCACAGATCAGAAACACACAGGACTGTACTGAAACACCTACAGCTACCTGCCTCTGTGTCGCTGTCTGGTGGATGAACCACAGATCAGAAACACACAGGACTGTACTGAAACACCTACTGCTACCTGCCTCGGTGCTGCTGGCCGGTGGATGAACCACAGATCAGAAATACACAGGACTGTACTGAAACACCTACTGCTACCTGCCACTGTGTCGCTGTCTGGTGGATGAACCACAGATCAGAAACACACAGGACTGTACTGAAACACCTACTGCTACCTGCCTCTGTGCTGCTGGCCGGTGGATGAACCACAGATCAGAAACACACAGGACTGTACTGAAACACCTACTGCTACCTGCCTCGGTGCTGCTGGCCGGTGGATGAACCACAGATCAGAAACACACAGGACTGTACTGAAACACCTACTGCTACCTGCCTCTGTGCTGCTGGCCGGTGGATGAACCACAGATCAGAAACACACAGACTGTACTGAAACACCTACTGCTACCTGCCTCTGTGCTGCTGGCCGGTGGATGAACCACAGATCAGAAACACACAGACTGTACTGAAACACCTACTGCTACCTGCCTCTGTGCTGCTGGCTGGTGGATGAACCACAAATCAGAAAATACACAGACTGTACTGAAACACCTACTGCTACCTGCCACTGTGTCGCTGTCTGGTGGATGAACCACAGATCAGAAACACACAGGACTGTACTGAAACACCTACTGCTACCTGCCTCTATGCTGCTGTCTGGTGGATGAACCACAGATCAGAAATACATGGACTGTATTGAAACACCTACTGCTACCTGCCTCTGTGCTGCTGGCTGGTGGATGAACCACAAATCAGAAAATACACAGACTGTACTGAAACACCTACTGCTACCTGCCACTGTGTCGCTGTCTGGTGGATGAACCACAGATCAGAAACACACAGACTGTACTGAAACACGCACTGCTACCTGCCTCTGTGCTGCTGACTGGTGGATGAACCACAAATCAGAAAATACACAGGACTGTACTGAAACACCTACTGCTACCTGCCACTGTGTCGCTGTCTGGTGGATGAACCACAGATCAGAAACACACAGACTGTACTGAAACACCTACTGCTACCTGCCTCTATGCTGCTGTCTGGTGGATGAACCACAGATCAGAAACACACAGACTGTACTGAAACACCTACTGTTACCTGCCTCTATGCTGCTGTCTGGTGGATGAGCCACAGATCAGAAATACATGGACTGTACTGAAACACCTACTGCTACCTGCCCCTGTGCTGCTGGCCGGTGGATGAGCCACAGATCAGAAATACATGGACTGTACTGAAACACCTACTGCTACCTGCCACTGTGTCGCTGTCTGGTGGATGAACCACAGATCAGAAACACACAGACTGTACTGAAACACCTACTGCTACCTGCCTCTATGCTGCTGTCTGGTGGATGAGCCACAGATCAGAAATACATGGACTGTACTGAAACACCTACTGCTACCTGCCTCTGTGCTGCTGGCTGGTGGATGAACCACAAATCAGAAAATACACAGACTGTACTGAAACACCTACTGCTACCTGCCACTGTGTCGCTGTCTGGTGGATGAACCACAGATCAGAAACACACAGACTGTACTGAAACACGCACTGCTACCTGCCTCTGTGCTGCTGACTGGTGGATGAACCACAAATCAGAAAATACACAGACTGTACTGAAACACCTACTGCTACCTGCCTCTGTGCTGCTGGCTGGTGGATGAACCACAGATCAGAAACACACAGACTGTACTGAAACACCTACTGCTACCTGCCTCTGTGCTGCTGGCTGGTGGATGAACCACAAATCAGAAAATACACAGACTGTACTGAAACACCTACTGCTACCTGCCACTGTGTCGCTGTCTGGTGGATGAACCACAGATCAGAAACACACAGACTGTACTGAAACACCTACTGCTACCTGCCTCTATGCTGCTGTCTGGTGGATGAACCACAGATCAGAAACACACAGACTGTACTGAAACACCTACTGTTACCTGCCTCTGTGCTGCTGGCTGGTGGATGAACCACAGATCAGAAACACACAGACTGTACTGAAACACCTACTGCTACCTGCCTCTGTGCTGCTGGCTGGTGGATGAACCACAGATCAGAAACACACAGATGGTACTGAAACACCTACTGCTACCTGCCTCTGTGCTGCTGGCTGGTGGATGAACCACAAATCAGAAAATACACAGATTGTACTGAAACACCTACTGCTACCTGCCACTGTGTCGCTGTCTGGTGGATGAACCACAGATCAGAAACACACAGGACTGTACTGAAACACCTACTGCTACCTGCCTCTGTGCTGCTGTCTGGTGGATGAACCACAGATCAGAAATACACAGGACTGTACTGAAACACCTACTGCTACCTGCCTCTGTGCTGCTGACTGGTGGATGAACCACAGATCAGAAACACACAGGACTGTACTGAAACACCTACTGCTACCTGCCTCTGTGCTGCTGTCTGGTGGATGAACCACAGATCAGAAATACACAGGACTGTACTGAAACACCTACTGCTACCTGCCTCTGTGCTGCTGGCCGGTGGATGAACCACAGATCAGAAACACACAGATGGTACTGAAACACCTACTGCTACCTGCCTCTGTGCTGCTGTCTGGTGGATGAACCACAGATCAGAAACACACAGGACTGTACTGAAACACCTACTGCTACCTGCCTCTGTGCTGCTGGCTGGTGGATGAACCACAGATCAGAAACACACAGATGGTACTGAAACACCTACTGCTACCTGCCTCTGTGCTGCTGTCTGGTGGATGAACCACAGATCAGAAACACACAGGACTGTACTGAAACACCTACTGCTACCTGCCTCTGTGCTGCTGTCTGGTGGATGAACCACAGATCAGAAATACACGGACTGTATTGAAACACCTACTGCTACCTGCCTCTATGCTGCTGTCTGGTGGATGAACCACAGATCAGAAATACACGGACTGTATTGAAACACCTACTGCTACCTGCCTCTGTGCTGCTGTCTGGTGGATGAACCACAAATCAGAAAATACACGGACTGTATTGAAACACCTACTGCTACCTGCCTCTGTGCTGCTGTCTGGTGGATGAACCACAAATCAGAAACACACAGGACTGTACTGAAACACCTACTGCTACCTGCCTCTGTGCTGCTGGCTGGTGGATGAACCACAGATCAGAAACACACAGGACTGTACTGAAACACCTACTGCTACCTGCCTCTGTGCTGCTGACTGGTGGATGAACCACAGATCAGAAACACACAGACTGTACTGAAACACCTACTGCTACCTGCCTCTATGCTGCTGTCTGGTGGATGAGCCACAGATCAGAAATACACAGGACTGTATTGAAACACCTACTGCTACCTGCCTCTGTGCTGCTGGCCGGTGGATGAACCACATATCAGAAACACACAGGACTGTACTGGAACACCTACCATGGGTGTCCCTTCTCTGCTGTACCTCTTGTCATACTGATACAGATCTCTGTCCTGTAGTCTGGTTGATGCTGAAGCCAAGTTAGCCCTCACTGTGGTGCCATGGTCAGACCCCGGGGTATCTGAGCTGCGTTCAGTGGACATTGGGGTGAAGACTGGACCTGTATGTAGTGGATGAAGATGAGGTACATTATCACAAATATATTCCTAAATATGATAACTAAAAATGCTCAAATTATTCTTAATTTGAGATTCAAAACTTCTTCTACAGATAACTGTTACAGTCTATTATGGACTGGTCTCATTTGTCCGGATTGTAAAGCAGTCCGGATTAGACAACTTTTGTCCATTACCGTACACACTGCCACAATGAGTTACCATATATTACTGTAGATAGGACGAATTTTGAGGACCCAAAAAACAAAACAGTCTGTAGCAGGTGGTTGGCTTATCTATGGGCTACACTTTCCAACTCACTATAACTTGAAACTTGTAACCAATAGGAGCTTGTTCTGTATTTAATTTCTTTTAAGAACTATTATGTGGAAATATGTAATACAAACTGAAATAAAAGTAAAAAAAGTGAAACCTGATATTGATGTATTGTTTCTTTCCCCAAAGTTTACGATTCTTGAATCTGTATTTTATTTCATAAAAAAACTCTGGTGTCAACTCTAAAGACAATTTTAAAGGACCAGGGTTCAGTCTCACAGAGAGTTTGTAGTGCTAAGTCTCTTGTGACTGTGAAAAGCTTGGGTTTGCAATTGTCTTAGAGCTATGATACTGTAAGAAGCAGGATTTAGGGTGAGTATAGTTTTACGCCGCTTTTAGCAATATTCCAGCAATATCACGGCGGGGGACACCAGAAATGGGCTTCACACATTGTACCCATGTGCGGAATTGAACTGGGGTCTTCAGTGTCCCAAGCGATCGCTTTAACCACTAGCCTACCCCAACGCCCCAGGATTTAGGGAACAAATGAATGGTCTTGTTTCCAGTGAATTGCTTAACCATCCCTTCAGGGCCATGTACACAAACTCATCTTACCACTAAACAGTGTGGGAAATAGTTTCCAAATTGTGCTAACAAGTCAGGCTAGCTGTGCCTGAAGTTATTAGCACACAAAATAATTCAATAGCCCGAAATTTGAATGTAGAAACTAAGCAAAAGATTACGAAAATAGATGAGAATAAGATACTGTCGACATGACACAGGTTTCATCATTAAACCGCTAATATGAGGAACATATTTATTAGGCCATAATCTTGCATGATTTAAAAGTATATTATAACTTAAAAAGTCAGAGAGTGATATATTTACAAAATGACCCCATGAAAATTCACTAGCCAGTCGGGCCAGTGAGTGTGGAGATTTACTGGCCCGAATGTATTTTTACGAGCCACGGGCTAGCGGGCCAGAGGCTATTTTGCACACTGCCACTAAAACAGTCATAAGTCTATGATAGAATATGTGAGCAATGACAGTCATGGAACTAAAATCACGTTGTGGAACAAAACATTGTGTGTCTTCTGAAAAAGTCAGTCTTTCAGTCTTTTAGTGGGTATATTCATGTCCAAGGAGTTTTACTTTCATCTGCTCACATTAGTGACAGTGTCCGTTTAGTTAATACAGTCACAGTTTGGGACGTGTCCGACTGTCATCCAAGCATGTGTAAGGAAATATTGGAACCCCTAAACTTGTACCTTTAAATTAACATGCAGAGGCAGGAAACAAAAAATATCAAGTCTGTGGAATTAAAGTCAAACTGAAAAGTATGGCACATTTTTTTGCACTATTGAAACATTTTTTGGACAGGATTTTTGTGATTGCTGGACTGCTTTTTACTTTGTCTCACAAATAAATTGTTTAATCAATTTGACCAGGTCAAAATTCTTGACTGACCTAAACTGAAGTCCATGTACTGCTGCTTCTTGTAGGCGAAAGGTCGAGTCTGTCTGATGCCGGTGGGCAGCTCAGGGAGACCCAGCGAGATCGAGGGGATTTTGCTTAGTCCTTCGTACTTTGGTGCAGCTGCAAAAAAGCACATATTAACACAATTATTTGGTTCAGAGAAGAGCAGATCTTTAACAAAGGGACTGTAATAAAATCTGAAGCACTATTTTATTTACAATCAGGTTATATGTTTCATGTAAACAAAGGGAACAAATTGTGAAAACTTTAGCACTGACAAGAAGAGCTGACAGACATTACCAGGTACACAGCTTGACAGACATTACCAGGTACACATATTGACAGACATTACCAGGTACACAGCTTGACAGACATTACCAGGTACACATATTGACAGACATTACCAGGTACACAGCTTGACAGACATTACCAGGTACAGATATTGACAGACATTACCAGGTACACATATTAAGAAACAGACATTACCAGGTACAGATATTGACAGACATTACCAGGTACACAGCTTGACAGACATTACCAGGTACACATATTGACAGACATTACCAGGTACACAGCTTGACAGACATTACCAGGTACAGATATTGACAGACATTACCAGGTACACATATTAAGAAACAGACATTACCAGGTACAGATATTGACAGACATTACCAGGTACAGATATTGACAGACATTACCAGGTACACATATTGACAGACATTACCAGGTACACATATCGACAGACATTACCAGGTACACATATTGACAGACATTACCAGGTACACATATTGACAGACAGTACACATATTGACAGACATTACCAGGTACACATATTGACAGACATTACCAGGTACACATATTAAGGAACAGACATTACCAGGTACAGATATTGACAGACATTACCATTAACTGTTTTCAAGAACAGACCAAAAGTCTAGACATGTTTTTTATCTTCTGTTTTTACCAACTGACAAAAGAATTGAATGTATACAAAAATCGGTTTACATGTAATATTTGATCACGACTCCTATGTTAGATCAAAGTACATTTGACCAAACAGTTGCAATAACGACATGATGCTAGGGTACTGTTGCTCACCTGCTACAAACGTGATGAAAGTTACATGAAGTAGACTATTTGGTTACCAACAAAGAAAACTGTTGTCCAGTTACAGGTGTAATATTTGTCGTATTGACTGGTTGTGTAACAAGGTCTGTTTGTATGACAGGACAGTTGGAAAACCAGGAATCAATGATTTTAGTCAGACATGGGTTCAATTACTTTGAAATGTAATTAATTAAATTACAATTACTTTGATTTTCCTCAATTACAATTACAATTACACTTTAAATTAAAATGTGATTAATTAAATTACAATTACATAACCAATGTAATTAATTACATTACAAATTACATTTTTTTAAAACACAACAAAAAACAAAACTGATATATTTCTGTATTCCTTTAATCAACAAGATCAAAATCCAGCTTGTCATCCAAATACCAGGACAAAACAAGCTAGTCATGCCTTTTCTGTCTCTGCCCCAACCCTCTGGAACTCCTTCCCCCTGAAGATGAGATGTGCGGAAACAATTGACTCCTTCCGCAGACTGCAGAAAACCTATCTCTTTTCAGAAGCCTGTCCGTGCTAGACTTTGTAATGTGCCATTGAACAGCTTCGAGTTGGATACCAGGCGCCATATAAATCCATTATTATTATTTATTAGCTGGAATATTAGTGAGTACGGCATTAAACAACAAACACATGCTATAAAACAATAAGAATGCCTCTACAAACCTTTAATATTTGGTAATGGCTTTTTTGAACTTAGGGAGGCCTCTAAGGGATTCTTCATCTCGTGATGAACCCACATCACTGGCCAGGTCCTTCATGGGTGTGACCACCTCACTTGACCTCTCAACACCACTGTCCAGCTGGAATACTGGCTTCACCATCATCAGATCCGGATTGCGCATATTCTTTTCCTTGTTTCCTAGGAGACGGAGCTTCTTCTGTTGCAGGAGTTCTGATGTTTCTATAGAGACGGGACTAGGAGGAGGGTGGAACTGCCGGATGATGTCATGAATTCTTTCTTTGGATGTGAAGTCGCTGTAAAAGATTGAGATGTTCACTTGGGCTGTTTAATGTTGAAATTACTCACATCTTAATATTCTAACAAGTTGGTCCACAAAACAAGGACAGAAAAAGAAATTGCTGAAAAGTAAATAGATGTTTTTAAAGAAAGCAACTGTTTTATAATTAGATTTAACACACTCTTTCTATCTCATTTGTACTCACAATTTAGGATAACATCACACAGTGAAACAATAGTCATTTTCATGTCATATAAAAACATTTAAACTGAAAATTTAATTAATTTACATTCCAGTTCTTTTTGGGTCTGCAGCAATAAATGGGGGGGGAAAAATCAAACCTATTCCAACCTGGAATCCCACAGAACAGTATGATTGGTGCATTGTGGGTAGAAACACTGTACATTTTATATACTGTATCACGACAATACACTTGCTAAAATATTAACTACTTGTTTAATTGACACAACCCATCAATATTTTGTGAGTAAAAACTTGCAAGAAAAGTTGGTATTAGCGTTTCAAGTATATTACTTACTAAGAATTAGCTGCAACAAACATGGACCTGCTTTGAAATATTTATAGTCAATAAGTTCATAATATTCATATGTGTTTAATGATATTTATCATGATCTATGCATCATCATATGTACGGTCTGGCAACTTTTCTGTATCGCCTCACCCCCATAATTTCGTCTGTGATAGCCATGAGAATGTTGTTTATTTCAGAAGGCATAATCTCGATATTTTGTTACTGTGAACAGGAATGTATTCAAACCTGAGATATATACTACAATGTAAACACAGATTGATGAAATACAATAGTAGATAAAAAGTTCACATGAAAACACAGTGAAAGAACAAAGCATAACATATGTAATCAATACTAGCTTGTTACTGTTTCAGGTAAATCATCTTGGAGGTTTCCTGATTCGAAGATATTTGATCTATAGTGGAATTTATAACAGACGATTGACATAAAATCTGATCTAAAAAACAGCATGAAATCATACCAGTTCTTAAAAGTACCGTATATTACCATAGATAAGCCAACACCCCTAACTTGACCCTTAAAATCAGTGTCAAAATGGTATGTTTCGTGCATAAACCGACCCGTGATGGGTGTCCTAATCGCTGTATATCAACTCAGACACAAGACAACTGACAGTTACTGTCTTGGATGTAAAAGGTAAGTATGTTTGGTGAGAATAGTATCTAATAAAGATTTTACTGACCCATAATGTGGGAACCTGTGTTTGTTATATTTTTAATATCAATCTGATCACTGTTGGTATGAACAACAAGACAGTAAATTTGTACTCATAATGGAGTGCAGTTTTGATTAGCTTTTCAGCTTAAAGTCGTCTTGGATGTTTAACTGAAACCCACATGCATGGGTATGAAGATGTAAAGCCATGATTTATTCACTGCATACCTGTATGAGAAAAACCTCCAGTTAGATGAAAAATACTTTATTCTTGTCTAACATATATCAGTGGATGAAGTGAACATTACAAAAACAATTCATGCTATCTCACATGCTAACAACTATATACCTAGTTGGAAAACATTTTGCATTAATATGGGGTTTACCAGAAACACGGAGCACATGGCGAACTACAAAATGTTTTATTCTTTGATTAACACAGCTTTCTTGTATTCCTAAAATGTCAGTCATGGCTTTTAAAAGGCATGGAGTGGTGTTCTTTTAATCTTTAACAAAGATATTGTCAATTTAAGACATTTATATTTGTGTAGAAAGTAATGAATTTGAATTGTTCATGAAAATATGGGAATATTTCATGGAGTGTCCTGTATAGGCCCCATGGGGTGTCTGGATTAAGCAATGTGTGAACTTCTGGTGATGAAGATTTAATTGAACTGATACAAGTTTACAACTGAAGAAACCCCCTCAGTTGATCCATGCATAGAGAATACTACACGAGGTCTCATTACACACGAATTATACGAAACGAGTGTCCTTCCTATGGTATCTGACCGAGCGAAAGCGCGGGCAGAAACCATAGGAAGGTCACTAGTTTCGTATAATTCGTATGCTATGAGACCGAGTGTGGTATTATATTTATTACCCATGTCTTACATGCATTAAATTGACAAAATAGTGTATTTTTGTTACTGTTATGGTTTCAAACCGAAACCGGTTTCGAAAAGAGGTTGCGGAAGAATTTTGTTCTGTAGTACACTGTTTGCATGACGTCACACTGTAATGACGTCACTACGCCTTGCTCGTCTGCCCCATTGGTAACCGACGTCACGATGCATGTCAGTTGTCATCGCCTCAGACAGCCTCCTACATTAAACTACTCCGTAGCACCCCGTTTCTTAGTTTGCAGTTGCTTCACTCGGCTAACATCACTGGTGGAAACATTGCGTTTACGTTTTTTGACGGGTATAATGTCTCAGTTCCACTCACAATTAAACAGCGACACGGCAACGTTCGCGATGTTTACATTCCCACAATGCATATAAGTTGTAGAATGAATGAATTCATGTGTTTGTTATGAATGAAAAAATAGTTACGTCAGAATGTGACCTAATTGAGAGGTCATCGGTTATCCAATCAAATCGCTAAAATCTCAGGTCAAATCATTACGACACAGGTCAACGCGACACGACACTCGTGTGACGTACGAGATTAGAATGCAACTACCCATACGTTGACCACGTGGGAGACAAAGGAGAGTTTTACATGAAGAACTGTGAGTCATGTCTTTCTGCTTCACACAAACTGAATGTAGTGGTTATAGATGTATACTAAATTACTCATGGCCGTCCATTCTGCTCTAATCCTAATATATATAAAAAACAGGTACATGACGGCTCTGTTGTGCATCATCGACCACCAGTTAGTTAGCATGAAGTTAATGGTGCATCTATGACAACCAGTAAGTGAGTGAATTTAGTTTTACGCCGATTTTAGCAATATTCCAGCAATATCATGGTGAGGGACACCAGAAATGGGCTTCACACATTGTACCCATGTGGAGAACCAAACCCGGATCATCGGCGTGAGGAGTGAAATCTTTAACCACCGTCCCATAACAACCAGTGAATATGAATTGTACCCATGTGGGGAATCGAACCCAGGTCATCAGCGTGACGAGCGAATGCTTTAACCGGTGTCCTCCCATTACACAGACAGCCAGTTAGCAGACCCTTTATAACAACATTTACGGTTCAGTGAACAGATTAGCTACTACCTGTTACCTACACATTATAATGGAATAGTCCAAATAAAAACACAAGAAAAATACTGAAACTATAACATTTACTTTGAAAGACGGCCCAAAAGATGTTAATTTAAATTTTGATTGAAGCAATATTTAATAACAGTTGATTTTCATAAACATTTCGGTTTAACCTTCTCGTCTAACGGGAGATGGCATCATCATATTGAAAACATTGTCAAAAAGACATCTAAAATAATTGGAGCATTTCAGAAATTTTAGAAGTTGCTACTAAACAGAACAACGCCAGTTGTTCTACAGGATTTACTCCCACCTGTAGCAGTCAACCGAACAATCTATGAGTTAAGAAACTCTGATAATTTTAGCCAACCATGTACAAGACTGAGGTACTCAACATCATCTTTTATTCCATCAGCAGTTAAAATGTGGAATAATATTCCCTTAGCTATTAGAAATTGCAACTCTGTTGCATCATTTAAATCTTATATCCACGTGAAAGAAAAATGTGCACCTAAATATTATTCATATGGAATAAAGAAGTTAAATGTTTTGCACACCAGATTAAGATATATGACGAGTACACTTAATTATGATTTATTTAGAATAAATATTTACAAAATGACGCATCATGTCAATGTGGCCATGGATGTGAGACTATTCTTTGTTACTTCCTGGAATGTCCATTCAAATCTATAAACTGTTACAATCTTTAGAAAATATTGTTAAAATTAGAAGATTGATATACTATTATTGGGAGAGAGCTTTTTTTTTAGTTGGATAACTTGTGCCCAATCATTTTCTTGAATGAATAAAATATATTGCAATCAATAAAAAAATCAAACCTCTCAGTGACAAACCTGTTTTTATATTCGATAGTAATTGATAGTTAAAGAATTCTGAGAAGAGAAGACAGATTATCATTTAATCACAACAAAGTTCTATTTACACACAATCAAACTTCTCAGTAACGAACCTGTTTCAGACTCACCCTACTCTATTCACTAGCCAGTGGACTGTTCCATTATACCCCCGTAGGTGTTACCCTAATTAACCTTCTAGTTCAGTGTCTGTCAAATGGGTGTCTGTCAAATGGGAGATAACCCTTTAACCAGTAGGCTACCCCTCCGTCCCATAACAACCAGTGAGTATGGTGAAGTCTTCAGCCATCAGGATAAGGAGCATCTGTGACAACCCACGAATGTGGAAAAACAGGTGAGTGTGGACAATTTGGTTTGTTGACAGTGAGACAATATCATCATCACTTCACTTTCATAGTTTCAGTCATTCATGGACAGTTGTCACATTTGGTAATGAGATGAAAGATACTTTTGCATCACCCCTGAAGCTGAGTACAGATGATGAAGCCCCAAAGAGACATATAATCAGGATGTTTCAGGGATTATAAAGGGAAAAAGCACCAAACACTTTAATCATTACACTTGCATGACCAAACCTGAATCCCGCTGCGCTGCTTTACATCACATCAATGTTTCACATTGCTTAAGACAATATGGTTTCTTAAAAGATTACTTCTGAATTTATTTTCTTTCTCCCTTTTTTAAAAGTCGTGAAAATATTTAACCAATAAGAAAAACCTAAACCAATTTATTTATGTAAATAAAAGAAAATAACCTATATTAAAGATTTTATAACCAAATGTTTATCCTTTAGAGAAAACATTCAACAAAACCATTTACACCTATAATGAAACTTTCAAATGCTTTATTGAAAATTCTCTGTTGAATGTTTAGAGAATTCTAAATCTTTTGGAATGGTCATAAGACTTTGCCATGAGATGACATGTGTT